ATCAAATGAAATGCACATTTTCCAATAGTTCATTCGTATGAAAATAGGTATCTTCCGATTTGATTATTAAAGAAAATTACAAACACTTACCTCTAAACACTGGAACATGGAGAGCGACAGTTAGGAGCCCGCTGACACCCATACCGGATGAAACAAAACGACATTGGGCTCACCACAAACCTATTTATACTTTACTATTTATGTCCTGTTTCTATGAGTCTTTGTTACTTAGTGCTCTCTCTGTGTCTCTCTGACTGTTTCCCTGCAATCAGCTCGACAGGGTGTGCTGATACGTGTTACTGTAGCTGTGCATCCGTGTGTGTATGTGTATGTGCGTCTCTCTCTCTCTCCCCGGCAGCTTATGCAAACAAAGGCCTCAGTGGCGAAGCGTCGGGGATATGTGCGTGCTCATAAGCCCGCATACCATACGTATGAGGTCACCAGCAACAAGCAGATATAGTTACTTTGACAAGGCTGATATTACTGTTGAATGTTTATTAAAAACTTTAAATGAAGTTCATACAAAATAGTTTGCTACCGAAGTGATCATTGTAATGTTTTTATGGTAAGGTCGTATATAACTTTTTGTGTCTGAAGAGAGTACACCGACACATGATAAAGAGGACATGCCCTGAACATATAAGTGTTTGTATGTGGTTAAGTCATTCAGAATGATATGTTTACACAGCCGATAGACGACTGGCTGCGTGACCCGATTTGACGCGCTCAACGTTGATCTATTTATAACACAGATGATCCCGACATTTGCCAACAACCTGTCCTCTGAAAAGCTGTCGCCGGTGAACTGTTTATAGCGTGACGTCACACGCACCTGGGCACCTGGGGCAGAACACCCCTTTTCTTATCATCAGTGAATGACCTGCGCTACAGTTTTCCTCCGAAATTAAATTGACACTGCATTAAATAACACAAACTTATGATAAAGTCAGAATCGTACAATCAACTCTCCGTTTAGCAGATATTTCTAATTATTCTGGAAAGGGTTTTGTTGCTATAATAATATCTGCCAAGTTCAATTGGAGGTATTCAATCATACCTCCCATGTCAGGAGTTTGAGATCTGATTGGTTCCCGTGATCTTGATAAAATACTATGTAATTTATCGATGTCACATTTGACGAACCAGTATGTATTAGCAGTGTAGCAGCAGTATATCAACGGTATTATGACGTCACAAACATACTGATATCCGTCAACTATGATTACGTTTTAACGTCACCCTCTATTGTCATAAACCGTTACGTCACAGATATTATGACGACACAAATACTGCTGGGCGTCGCCTATACCCCGTTAAAGTTTCACCTAAAGAGCCGTTGTGCGGAGAAAGATTTTGTGTGCAAAAAAGAGTTTTGACAAGCACAATATCTACACAATCCTTTCTGTATATTTGACGCTTATACACCTGAAGAAATTACTTGTTATCCATTTGACATTCCTAATCAGCAATACAAGCTGACAGAAAAAGAAACTGTATATTTTGTCCCGTGTCCGTGCGTGCGTGCGTCAGTATGTTTCCTGTTTTCTAAGCCACGTGATTGTCGCACATGTGTTCCTTATGTATCAAAAGAGATGAAGAAAATATGCTGATTGGACGTGACATCAACCTACATATTTGGACATTATTATTCTTCATCCTGTGTACAAGGTGCTATACAACCTCCACATTGTGCAATGTGTAACTGTGCCTGTATACAAACATGCGTCCCAGTCTTACTACTTTACTCTAAGTGTACATGGATTTGTCTAATTTCCCTATCCATGTTCGAAAATCTGGAAACAGAGTCGATAGAGTTACCTCCCTTTTTCATCAGCTATCACAAACCAACATTGACATTACTGACATTGTATTGTCTACGATTTTTCTTGTATATTAGTGCACACTGAAGACATGTGAAAACCATGTTTACAACAACAATGGCAGATTGTCCTATGTATGTGATGTATGTGATAAGAGAGGTTAGAAGTGAAATTGGGATAGGTTCTAACGACATCAATTCACAAACAGTGTAAAGCTCAGGAGGTCAAATGTATACAAATATGTTGTGTATTCGCGTATTCATCTCAGAAACATATGGTGAATGGGGGCCAGCATTGTTAAAGATGCACAGCGGAAAGATTTAATTTTAACGTCTGATGATTGGCTGCTGGTTATTTGAAAGAAAAGAAAGAGTTTTCGGTTTCACAACGTATATCAGTATATCACAATTTCTTATCATGGTGTACAAATATCATTCCCATTTAATAATGATAATCATTATACTAGTAATACTACCTTGAGTTTGTAAAGTACTCGATTCTGATGGGTCAGTCAGAGGCTATTAAATCACAAGACACCCCCTCTGATTGAAACAGCTGGTTTGACGGTCGCATCACCGCGGAAGCTAATATTCAAGGAATAGAACTTTTTCAGTTATTGTCGGTAGGCACATTAAAATAATAACATCTACAATTACAGGTCACATAATGGTACAATATACAAAGTGTGTGGGAATACATTTAGTGCAGAAAGGACGATAGAAGTCTACAAAGAGAACTATTTAAGTTTTGGAGACAACAGAGAGCTTAGAATTTGGCGCATTTCTATGTACGACTGTGACGTCATATGTTTTGCGTCACAATGAACGATATGACTTCATTATGGTGGCATACGGTGTAGAACAAAAGCCTTGCAAAGATTGCTTAGTTTTCTCTAGGGATGCTCACCTCATGTTAGCCTCCCAAGTTGCCATCCTTATATGCTTTAAATGCCTGTCATATGTTCGAGTAAAGTATTACGGTGTTAACAAACTGCTTCAGGATATATGTATTTTGTTTACAGGCTGTTGTAGCTGATCCCGTCATTGAGATTGACAACCCATTCAAAACACTTGACTGGATACATTTGCTACACCAAAGAGTACGCGTTTTATTTAATCATGGTAGAATGGAGATAAACATACTGTGAAATAGTATTTACATAACATTTTCGATAAAGCAGCCCCGGCTTAAGAGCACATATATGAAAGACGACCGAAGCCATTCAAGCAAACCTGTGTCCTGGTACAGGAGAAGGTAAATATCTTTTCTTTTGTAAATTGAACATTTCACTTCATTTGACTGGAAACCCGACACCTTCAATCAGACATTGTAGGTTCAAACCGAACCTGTAGTTACTTACCTGTAGTTTCTTCAATCACCAGTTACTTAATATCTGACACTTGTTCTGATGATCATCAATCCTATGTAACGTAGGTACGATATCTTAACCATATAATGCCGAGTTTATTAGAGATACTGGGACAATGTTATGAACCATTTTTCATATTCATCTTTCTAACCTGCAAATTCAGTTGATAAGGATGAAGTTTTAGCAGATTTTCTTATATAACTATGAAAAAGATTCTGTCGCTTCTATCTTCACATGCTCCCCCAGTCTTCGCGGGAGGCATCGGAAGTAGATGCGAGGTGACTGAACTGCTTCCCATGCACATCGACATCAATCAAACAGTAGAACGTTCCACTAGACAATTAGTTCAAAGAAAGTTCTTTGTTATGTACTCATAGCTTAGTAAGGTATCATTCGTATCTATTCTGGCGGAAGTCAATTTTACACTACGTATTGATCACTGCATGATTATCTTATGCACTATTGACAACTACACAAGTTCAAGTGTTTTGGTGCTAACTTATATGGTGAGACATGTGAATGTACATAAAAACGTATTATATCATTTTCTCAATATCACAATTCACATCACCGCTCATATTCCCCCTCATTTCTTCTTCATATTTTCAAATGAATTTAGCACGTAAAAATACATATTGTTCCTATGTACTGTGATCAACTTGAGTATGACATCATATTTCCAACTAACCTTCCCGCAAAGCCCTGACACAAAGAATACATTCTGGCAGGAACATTTCCTCTTGTGTGTGTGTATTGATAGCCTTGTTCGGATTTTCGGATCAAGGATTTTTATCGTGATCGATCGGTGCAAACAGGTTCACTTTCAATGTATCATATACCAGTGTCAGATACCTGCACATGCCGATTCATACATATCGTATTCCTTGGTAATATTGCTTTGAGCCGAATATATTATGTGCAAACCCCTGAAGACATTAGGTCGGATGATATCTGAATGTGTATACTATTAGTTGGCTATTTTAGTATTTATTCAGTTATTGTCCGTAACATAGACTGAAGACAGAAGCATTTGTAATCGTAACCTCGAAGGAAATGTGATGGGATGTATTTAATGGTTCTTCCCAGCTAACAATTTCACGTTGTGACAACGTCGTGACAACGTTGTGTTTACGTTGTGGCAACGTTGTGGATGTTACGTCCATATAACGTTATTCTGTGGACTCCCATTTATGTTGTCACAACGTCATGGCATAACGTTGTGTTACGTCATATTCACGTCGTCACAACGTTGTGATGACGTTTATTTTACGTTGTGGGAACGTTGTGATAACGTTGTGTTTACGTTCTGGTAACGTTGCGGATGTTACGTCCATATAACGTTATTCTGTGGACTCCCATTTATGTTGTCACAACGTCATGGCATAACGTTGTGTTACGTCATATTCACGTCGTCACAACGTTGTGATGACGTTGTATTTTACGTTGTGGGAACGTTGTATTTTTACGTTGAGGGAACGTTGTATTTGACGTTGTGGTTATGTTGTAATTTACGTTGTGGCAATGTTATAATAATGCGTCCCTACAACGTTATTCCGTGTACTACCACGGACGTTGTCACGACGTGAAATAACTTTGTGTTACAAGGATGAAATACGGTTGTGACTATCCACACTAAAATGTTGTAAAAACAACCCCAAAAAATGTTTTAGAATATGCTTTAGTCACGTGAATGTGTATGATTCGAGATACCTTTTACCAATATTTTGAAACCAGGGCGTCGAATAGCCCGACTAACAGTGAGTTAGATCGTGTTTTGCTAACAATGTTCAAAATGTAAAAACACCACTGAGCTGTTAACTGGATACATGATTTGACTATAACAAAGTCAGACACCGTTACCCTTTAGGCTTGTACTGAAAGAAACAAAAAAAAGAATGGCAGACAATGTAAGGGGTTGACCATGTGATATTTTCTGGGGAGGGTCGGGTCCTGGAATATTATCGAAAAAATATATTGTCACCGAAAATTCTTGACAAAAATAATTACGATTCAGACTGGTGAAAAAAATGCCTGCCACAAAAAAATGCCATAGAACTAGATACAAGGTGCTCATCTTCAGGCTCATAGAGTTAAAGAAAATCATATATCTGCTTTTGTAGCTGTGACCGAAAACATATGTAATCTCCATAGAAAAAATCCAAGTCCCCACCTCCTTGAATATTAAATGGTCGGTCTCTAATCAAGTCCATATAGTATACTTCAACTTTCAGTCATGCGAAGTCACCATTCAACAAAGAACTCCAAGACACATTTGCGTTGACATTTTATTATTTTTAGATTATAGAAAATTTATACACTTTTCGAAATTATTGAATGCCAGAATCTTCTTTCTTTTGTGTTCACTTCCACTTCCCTGAAATACAAACAGCTTAATAAATCTCGGGCAGGTATATGAAAGATTTCATATGACGAGAAACCTTCATTTGGAGATAAGGTTTTATCAATATTCAAACAATAATGTATAATTCAAGTGACTGATGGAAACAAATTTTAACATTCATTCAGAGACATCAAGAATCAGGTTGAATACAAAACGTGGTACGAGCATAGATTTATATAAATAGATCTACATTCTTAGCATTCATTTCAAGCTAAAAAAACAACACCAATTAACATGGATATAGACAACGGAATGTAACTGTAAACAATTGTACTTACGTTAACATAATTCACAGCCCAGGGTTTATTTGGTGTGTTCCTCAATGATTCAACATTCTTGATTCTATCTCCTGGAATGGTCGTGTAACATTTTCCCCCTTGCTGCAACGAAAACATATTAAAAAAGTCAAAACTAAAACTATATTCAATAAGCATACATTTAGATCTGTAGTCTAAACAAAAAGATAACATACATTGTATAATTGCCTAAAATTTAGGAAAACTGTAAATCTAAAGTCTTCATGTATAAGGTCCGATCGGAAATAAACTCAGGCTACAGATATAAGTAACAAAATTATGAGTACCATCATAAAAAAAACACCTAATGTAATTTGGTTTTACATATACACCGGTCTGACAAACCAGTGATTGTTATAGTGAGCCACGTCTCACAACCTCTGTCAGAGTACAGTGACACACAATCATGTTAGAACAAACATGGTTTGTTGGGGACCTTTTCTAAACCGGAATCCAAACGGGAACAGATATATTTGACAGGCATTGTAGCTAATTACGACTCACATCTTCATCGCAGCGCTGTTTATATAGATCTAGCTACAGTACGATTTCGTAGCTAGCACTGGAACTTACTCGTTCAGGTTTCGGTCACCATTTTATTCTCTCTCATTGCCAAAACGTTTCAGAGAACCAAGTATCATATACTTACTACGTTTATTAACATAATACAGTTCAATATCGTTAAATATCATTCTGTAGTATGGTAGCCTACCGGGCAACATACGGAGATCGAAAACCGAACGAATATGGTTGCTATCAATTCCATTGTATTTTTCATTGGTGCACACTGACTAGATCTACACTTATCTCACCTTAATAATCAACAAACGATGACCAAATCACTGACAATGTTTGGTGGTATTTAACTTTTGATTATCGACTAGCTTATCATCACCAGCGAGAACAATACCGCAAACACCCCGTTATAGCGCGCGACGAGACTCGTTTTACTATTGCTCGTTTTCATTAGAAGGGAGTCGGACATAGATCTAGTTATCGAAAAATGATGAATTGATTCTTTGTTTTTTGAAATATTAAAAATACACATGATAAGCGCCTTGCTCAAATAAAATTTATAGACAGCACCAACAACCAGATGATCGACATTTAGGCTACTTCAGTCAGTGCTGATTGGGCCTTTTCGGGAACAACAAGTATGTTTCTGTCTCTTCCCGAAAATACAATTTTTCATAACATCATTGAGCCCTTTAGACTAGGGCTATAACTAGCAGCCTACAGAGAGTCGATCTGAAAATACTTCCATTGTTTTGATTCCCTCTCTTCGCTGTATAAGAGAAATCTACTCAACCTTTCCCATGGCCTGAATGAGCCACATTGTTTCAGATTATTAGTACATGTAAACTTTCAGATTTCAGAAATAACACGGAAGAAATGGCGATAACTGTCAGTGGTCAGTAGGCGATGCATACGTTAGACCCGAACATAATATGACGACCACCAAACGCCGCCAGACTGAATTCTGGTCAAACATATACCTACTGCTTGCCCTCGGTAATTACCCTTGGTATCCATAAAATAATAATATGGTAAAACGTCATGGGCTTCCTTCACCTCTATATACATCACGTTCTGTGTATCAAATATTACTATCAACACTGACGCTCAGCTCAGTGAAAGTGACCGGCAAACTGCATTCTAAACCCCGCCACTTCTGAATAATACGATACATTTAAATCATTTGACTATCTGCATGTACAGAAACATATCAACAAGCGGAGACTGCTTTTGAAAAATAACTTACCTTATCCGAATTCACAGATCATCTGTCCAGTTCCCGTTGCTGCACAATCACTTGGTTGTAATATATCCAGAGTGAGTTTGAACTAAGATGGCTGGTGACAACAAATCTTCCGCGACAATGTGACGTCATTTTGACGTCACTTCACGAGGCAACAGGCTAAACTTTTCAGCAGTCGCTCTCACGCCGCAAAAAATGCGCGCCAATGTGTTTTTAACTGTAATTTTGCTTTAGACAACATTTAGTAGACAGATAACTTCGTTCATAGATATATATGTTTAAAAAAAATAAAACTACGAGATGGTAGATCTACAAGTGGTTTCCTAAACATCATTTACAAAAAGTGTTGTAATGTCCAAAGCATAACGTTATCACAACGTTAATTTGCAACGTTGTTGTTACGTTGTGGAATAACGTTACAATGTAACGTAATACTAACGTTGTAATAGAGATACGCAATTACGTTCTGGAAATTTTAGTATTAAGAGATGAAAATTCAAATGCCGAATATACAGAAAGGTAATGCATTACTGCCTTGGTATTCTGACAAATTCATGTTGATTTTGATAAAGCAGTTCTATTCCTTTATGACTATCAAGAAGCAAACTTTATAACGTTTCACCGACGTTTCAGAAACGTTGTTACAAAACGTTGTGCGATGTCCGATGCACAACGTTTTCACAACGTGAATGTGCAACGTTGTTATAACGTTGTGAAATAACGTTGCACGTTGACGTCATAATAACGTGGTGACAACGTTATTTCACGACGTTACCAATCCACAACCTTTCCACAACGTTGTGACAACGTCGTGTGTTAGCTGGGTTGTTTACTGTGTATTGCTGATAAGGAAAAAGAGAACGACAGGTTCATCTACACCTGAGCTGATGAAGGAGTCGAATGAACAAGTGAACTGAATTATTATCCAAGTAAACACAACCTTTAACAATCCCAATCACCGTTGCCGCTCTTCAAGCTAATTACAATAATCGCTTGTATCACACGAAGCCTTATACAATTAATAATTATTTCAGTGAGTGGTACAGTTTTACCCTGCTTACATTCCAGCAATCACGGCGAGAGACACATGACGTCACACATTGTTCCCATGATGGGAATTTTAACTGGATCTTCGTTGTGTTGTGCCAACGCGTCAACCACTTGGATATAAAACCATCCCAATATCAAATTACAATCTGATTTCACTGAACATAAGGTAACATAAACAGGTTTATTATTTGCTACACCTGAACAAGGACTACTTCTCGTCCCATCACCTGCATCATCACCGGCCTGTTTTACCCATACCCATCAGCCTGATATGAAATCCTAAAATCCGAAATCCGCGATATGCGATCCGAAAATCGGTTGTAAGTTGACTGTAGCATATGCCTGTGACTGACAATGCACCACACTACATCTTGTCAACAAGTAGGGGAATCCCCTTATGCTGCTGCTATATGAAGACTGTCAGAACAGTCGACACTATCAGTTTGTGTCAGCTGGCTGTGGGATACACATGTGTGAAGTAGAGGCATAATTACAGACAGCATGGGTAATATTGTTTCATGCTGGCCAATATCCCGATATCAGGTGGGTCAAGATGTTATGTATACAGTCATAGGCATATTTCACGTGCTTTCCCTATTCGAACATTAGCGTGACAATGTTTATAATGCGTGTGTACATGTTCAAGTGAATTTGTCAATGCATTGTCTTGTTTAGATCATGGAAGATCCTTGTTTTTTTTTTGCTATGATGGTGTAGCTATCAATCGTGTTTGAAACTGTGTTTATTCGATTCCAGAGGCTGTCCACCACAGAGAACGCGATAAACTGCCAAAATGAACCCAATCTGACAGAGAGAGTTACATGTACGTTAAATCACATTGTTTGTTATTTGTTTGGTTGTTTTGTGTTTGTTTGTCGTTTAAAGTCGCACTCAGCAATATTCCAGCTATATGACGGCAATCTGTAAATAATCGAGTCTGGACCAGACAATCCAGTGATTAACATCATGAGTATCGATCTACGCAATTGGGATACGATGACATGCAACAAACATCCCGATCCCGATCCCGATCCCGTTAGTCTGGACCAGACAATCCAGTGATTAACATCATGAGTATCGATCTACGCAATTGGGATACGATGACATGCAACAAACATCCCGATCCCGATCCCGATCCCGTTAGTCTGGACCAGACAATCCAGTGATTAACATCATGAGTATCGATCTACGCAATTGGGATACGATGACATGCAACAAACATCCCGATCCCGATCCCGTTAGTCTGGACCAGACAATCCAGTGATTAACATCATGAGTATCGATCTACGCAATTGGGATACGATGACATGCAACAAACATCCCGATCCCGATCCCGATCCCGTTAGTCTGGACCAGACAATCCAGTGATTAACATCATGAGTATCGATCTACGCAATTGGGATACGATGACATGCAACAAACATCCCGATCCCGATCCCGATCCCGTTAGTCTGGACCAGACAATCCAGTGATTAACATCATGAGTATCGATCTACGCAATTGGGATACGATGACATGCAACAAACATCCCGATCCCGATCCCGATCCCGATCCCGATCCCGTTAGTCTGGACCAGACAATCCAGTGATTAACATCATGAGTATCGATCTACGCAATTGGGATACGATGACATGCAACAAACATCCCGATCCCGATCCCGATCCCGATCCCGTTAGTCTGGACCAGACAATCCAGTGATTAACATCATGAGTATCGATCTACGCAATTGGGATACGATGACATGCAACAAACATCCCGATCCCGATCCCGATCCCGATCCCGTTAGTCTGGACCAGACAATCCAGTGATTAACATCATGAGTATCGATCTACGCAATTGGGATACGATGACATGCAACAAACATCCCGATCCCGATCCCGATCCCGTTAGTCGCCTCTTACAACAAGCATAGTCGCCTTTAAGTTTGATGTTTTAGTTTTATTGAATTTAAACAATCTGCTTGTCTTATTATGTTTCAGGAAGTTTAGTTCTATGTTTACCAAATGACTTCTTTTTACGTTTCTTTATGTATGTACCCTATTTTTTTGTTTAGTGAAGCTTATTTGGATAATGAATGTGAACTGAATGTTGTAACATCTGTCAAACAAAATGAACACAAGTAAATAGGTAGTTTATTGAGACCTAATTGTGATATGACTTTTGTAGGGCCAACACACTGGAACCAAGCATATGCTGTAAATGACGAGATGTTGGATACTCCTGTATCTGGAAGAGATCTCAGCCTTGTTGCAAGTCAAATCGGGATCGGGTTCGAGTCTGTTGGCATCGAACTTGGACTTACTCTCGTGGTTATCGAACAAGTCACGTTTGCACACCCGTATTCACTATACATGCAGGTTGTGCACATGCTTACAAAGTGGAAGGAGAAGAACGGCAGAACTGCAACCAGCCTGGTCCTTGTCAGAGCACTGTGGAGATGCAATGACAGGTGTACCATTGAGTGGGAGGACATTCTCAACATCCTTCGGGGACCGTCCACTGTGTCTGTGTAATCAAGTCGGAGAGCTGTAGGCACATGACGCTGTCTTGCATTACACTGTGAATACACGAGTGGGTATATAAGTAATGCTTCACTGAGTTTCCCCGACTACATACAGAGAAATCATGTCTACATTTATGTTCTCTCATATACGAGCGCTGCACCGAACACTCTTCTCGTGTACAGTTATTATTGATTCATTGGGATCCCGCTTTGAAATATCGAGTCGAGATGGTAGGTTCACTGAGGCTTTTGTACATAAATTGGGATCCTGACTGATCTGATTGATTTTCTGTTTCCTCAAGTTGCACACTGAACACTCTTCATTTGAACATTATTTTATTTTCCGTTTGTAAGACATTGTGATTTTATTTGTATGTGTTGAGAATAAATGCTTTTAATAAATAGCTGTGATGCCTTTTGTAATAACTTGTCTTTCTGTCTTTTTGATTTGAGGATGAACTAGCGAGGGATGATTACATGCGCCCTAAACGTCATCCGTAATCCGAAAATCCGGAGACATAATTGCGTCTCACATAACGATTTGACTCTACAATGTCCGGTCACGATTGAACAATCAAATGATTTGTGTTATGTTGTTCCGAGTGTACTGTTTATTTGTTGTCTCTTCTTTTGAACAATTTCACAAGGGTTTGTCGGTCGTAGAATTTTGCTGATTGATTATGGACGACAATCAGTGTTCTACTTTCTATAGTAGCTGTATTATAGTCCTGGTTGGAAGTTTGCAAATACTGGTTATGGGTGGTAGTGGTTCTCAGGTATGAAATCAAATAGAGATGATATCAGAAGTTCGCAAAAAGGTATCCTGTCCCACTGGTGGCACCCGTCACAGACAAGGAAATGGCTATCCTATCCAGTCTTCTACACTTTTACCATAAAACATTTGGACAATTAGTGACTGCATTCATATCTATGCACCATTGCAACAGAGTTGTAGGGGTGACAAATCTAGTTGTTTCGAAAATCCGATTTTATGTATTCAATAATATGCTCCCCTACATTCTACAAATATCTTGACAAAGTATTCGAATGACAAACATACAAGTCATATTCTCAATAATAGAGAAGCCTGAAACACTGTCACATTTTTATGCATAGAAAAGATGAAATAGTGATGAAAAGTATATGAATGGATCACTGGATATCAGTGATGACACCAGGTATTCCACAGAATGATTAGCATGTAATGCTCTACCAGATGCACCCGCCAAACTCATAAAATTCATAAAAGATGTAAGCTGTTTGTTGTTGCCAAATGCCGCCACCAGCAATACTCCTGACATATCACGGTGGCCTGTAAAGTATCGAGTCTCGACCAAAGAATCCAGGGATCACTATCATGAGCAATGATTCACGTCGTCGGGTTACCACTTCACGCTGTCAACCAAGTCAAAAAACATGACCACCCGATCCATTTAAGTAAGTGAGTAAGGAGGTGTGAAATCTCCCTGTAAAGGTCATAGTATGGGATAGAATTGAAAATCACTTTGACAGGCAGCATGTCATATTTCGTAAAACAATCTACCTAATTTCCTACTTCTGGAATGACTTGATCAGGCCTATGATGCCGAACCTTGATTTAAGTTTAGCTTAGTTGTAAGAAAAATGTGTGTTTCCAGGAAATTTAATGATATGCACATGCGTTTAAGTACATAAGCAACAGGGAAATATGGATGACATGAGTTGAAGCTTAAGGCATATTATTCCACGTGACATTCACTTTGAAACATCACTAGAACGAGATGTTTGTATAGTTTGTCCCATTTCTACACTAATGTATGTCACATATGCATTTTATCCCTTGGGTTCAATAACATTGTCAAAAGCGGGAGTTTAAAATGTTACTTCATGTAAAATACCTGCACTCTAACTATGAAAACCATTGAAATGAAATACTATTTACTTTGTACCTTTTCGACAAAACAATGTCAGCTTCAGGGTATAGGACAGAAGTAGTCGAGACCCGGTACAAGAGACGACAAGAACGTTTACTTGTCGGCGGCGATTGTGACGTAGCTAGTCCGAAAATCCGACACAGTCAATCAGAGATTCTCCGTTCCAACTGGATTTATTCACGCATCTATTCAAAAATATCAATGCATTTCAGAATAGTTATTCAATTGTCAGTTATTTAATAATAACACATGTCAAAATTCCATTAAAAAATATCAATGCATTTCAAAATAGTTATTCAATTGTCAGTTATTTAAGATCCGACACATGCTCTGCAATAACCAATGCGCACTGCAGC